AATAAAGATTGTGGTTGTTAAGATGCTTTGTTAAGCTGTCTGAAAGATTTAAGCCAGGTGCTCAGCTAGACACATAGACAAAAGATGTTTAAGAATCTTAAAGGACTTGTGCCACACCACCCTGACTCACAGCCCAAAGAAGAGAGGGACTTGTCACAAAAATATATACAGCATGTCCCAAAAGTCGCCATACATAGAGAAAATGGGAAATTGTAGCTAAATGTGTCTTTATTTATGAAATATTCATTATAAAATTTTACAAAATTTTTCCTTTGTATGGAGACTTTTGGGACACCCTGTATATATACATATACATACATATACACACATATATATGTGGATTTTACCTAATGTTGTGAACCATAGTACAATTCATAGGAAACCTACGTTTTTTAAGTGATATGTATTGATGAAAGCTCCAACAGCTTAGACTAAAAGGGAATGAAATGATTCAAAGCAATGAGGATAACGGGACCTTGTCCTTCTAATAGTAGGATGAAGGTTGAAAAAGATCTTCGGCTGCATGCACAATTCATTATTTATTTAAAAAAATAAAGATGAAAGGATTGGCGGGCACATCCCATAGTCTATAGCTGTAGAGAACTATTCCCAGAGAGAGAACCATGCCCACAACAAGGTGAAGGGAGACATATGTGCAGCTGATTTTTGTGACTGGTATGAACCAACAACTATTAGGTGCTCACAGTATTTGTTTGAATGGGAGTTTCTAATATGGTTATCTTTTTACCTCTTCCACCATTTTATGTTGTGTATATGGAAGGGCAGATAACATGTCTTTAAATTCATAAACCTCTCTACCCAAGAAACTGCACTGGAGGAGCTATACCTCAGGAATTACAACAAGAAGCCTTATCCATGTATGAACTTTATTTAGACAACTGTGAGATTATGCCTGAATGGGGTGTGAATTTTGGGGGTGGAGGTGAAGATATTTTGCATTAAGGAGAGATATTAATTATTGTGGCCAGATATATTCAAAGCTGAACACTGTCAATATTTTTCTTGTCTGTATGTGTGATATACTCTGACCATCAAGAAATGGAGACTATATCCATTCCCTCGAAACACAATGCAACAGGGTGCAGTGACAGTAGCTCTATTTCAGTCCAAAGCTTAGCCTCTAGGAAGTCTAGCAGCCTCCATTTTTGTTCAATAACACTGAGTCCACAATTCTTTGAGCAATTCCAAGATAGCCATGTGAAAAAGCCACTTAGTGGAGAAATGTCATAATATGTGATCTTCCAGCCTAGCTCAGCTGCTAACTAAAACCAGCTGAGTGACCCGAACCAACATCCTGTAGAGCAGAACTGCCCATTCTAGCCATGAACAAGTTCTGACCCAGAAAATTTTTATAAATTATAAAATGTTGTGGGTTTAAGCTACATAAATCATGGAGAGGTGGTTATTTAGCCATAGATAATTAAAACAACTTTCAAAGGTGTAAAGATTATCCTGAGTAGCTTTGTGTTTTTACAGATTTTTCTCTCTTAAGGGCCATAACCACAATTAAGAAGCTTTTATTTTAAAAAGGCATCCTTCATACTGGCCTAAAATTGGAAATAGCTCAAATATTCATAAACAGGAGAACGGATAAATAAATTGTGGTATATCTATACAATATAATACTAGACAGAAATATAATCAACTGCTGCTACACTCAGGGACATGAATAGATTTCACAGACATGGCCTTGAGTGAAGGAAGCACTCTACAGAGCACTGTATTTTGAATGATTCCATTCAATCGTGTTAGAAGTTAGAATACTGATTTCCCCCATAGTATGGGGTATTTACTGGGGAAAAAAATTAGAAAACTTTTAGGATATTGAAAATGTTCTCATCTTTCAGCTAAATTGTACATTTAATGTTTGTAAATTATCCTGTATGTTAAACTCGATTACTTTAGGGGAAAAAAAAAACTGCTTGAAACATCAAAACACTAAACAACAAACAAAAAACATATGAAAGCATTCCTATACTTACACATTACTATGAAGCAGCTTACGTTCAGAGAGTTCATGTGATTTACCCAAGCTCATAATGCTAGAAAGTTGTAAAAGTAATTCTAGTGGCTTTCATCTCATTCTCAAATATTTGTTAAAAGTCTAGTAGTGCCTATAATATGCAAGTTTTCTCCTGGTTACTTTACTATATTTTCTTGAAAGAGAGAACTTAGGTTAGATTTTGAAGACCCAAAGATTTAAGGGTCTTTAATAAGTACTGAAGAAACACAGTGGGCTTTATTCAGTGACAGAAGTTTTAGAGGAAGCAACTCTGGGGTATTGTATTATAAGAACCCATGAGTTCTAGGAAATGAATTTGATAGAAACTAGGTTTTTTTTGTACAGGCCACACCTTACAGAAAAGCTGTGCTTCTGTTGCACAGGACAATAACAATGGCAGAAGACTGAAAATCACCTTGAATATTACTGTTAGTAGACCTTTTTATGACCTGACATTTTAACAGGACCATCTAAATGTTGTGAGTATTAGAGAAAGCATATCCATGATCTGAACTGATTTTAGTTCACAAGAGGTTCCATTTGTTTTTATTGAGGTTAATGGATCCGTATTCACAGATCCATTAACCCCAGAATTTTTAAATGTTAAATCAGCAGCTTTAAATAAATGTTAACATGAGACACCAATTACTGATACTGTAATACCAAATAGAGGGCGAGCTTTGGAGCATCGCTTAGGGAGAATATGTTAAAAATTCTGAACTTCTTTATTAGCAAGATAAAAATGATGTAAAGGTATTAATATTTTGTTGGGTCAAAGCCAATAAAAATAAATAATTTCCCCTTTAAAAAATGCATTTAGCAAATAGCTGCATAGTCTCCATAAGACTTTATGTTTCTAAACTTTCATAGGATTATGGTTATTGTTATTAATGTTACCATTACTACCCTTGCAATGCCATTACTACATTAAGGAATTGATTTACTCAGATCTTATGACTGTAATTACCACATGCACTCATGAAACAGTGCGTTGCAAGGATATATGTGGCTCTTTGCTAGGATAGTGACTCTGCATACTGCTATATGGAGGCTGGCATTGAGATTTATTTTGCTCTATTTTAAATTATTTTGCATCAACTATGTACCACAATGGAATTGATATTTAATCTCTGTTTTTATGGTGAAGGGAATTTAATTCAATTCAACATGCATTGACTAGATACTTCTTATGAACCTAGCCCTATTCTCAAGTAACACTCCTGGTCTCTGGGGAATTCTAGCATCTGGAACCAAGCTGCCCTGGTTCACATTCCAGCTCTGTTGTTGAAAAGTTATTTAATTTCTTCATGCCCCAATTTCTTCATTCCTTCAATTGTAATATTACCTATTGCATGGTGTTTTCATTGAGATATTGAAAGTATAACCGTTAACACCATATGTGCCCCATAAGTAATGCTCCCTAAGTGATATCTATTAATAAAGCAACACACTTCCTTTAGAAAAATGCCATAAAATCTGACTACTAGACAAGTCTGAAAAACCATGAGAAGCAACTTTATGTTTGTGTGTAGGGTATGAGGAAAGTAAATGCCTCTTATCTAGAATAATGCTTTGTCAAGTTAATTTAATATCCTCAATATCATTGTATATTAAAATAATTTCATTGTGTAAAACAGAATGTACTATATAGTCTTAGAATAATGGATATTCAATGACTCTAGGACTGCACAAATCTTGTTTATCAGGCAATCTTAACAGTCTAGTACATGGTTTATTTTGTAAATGTTGCAGTATATTCAAAAGAATATTTGAATTTTGAGTATAGATTTCTTTCTCTCTCTCTCTCTCTCTCCCTGCCAAAATGCACAGGCATGTGCATCCAAGCATCATAGCTTAAATCTTAAATATCTATGTATATATTCTTAAAATAATGCATATCTAAAAATAAAATAGTTAAACTGCATTGTTCAGATCTTCAATATTTATTTTTTCTGTTTGATCTATTAATTTCTGTGAGTAATATGTTAAGATCTTGAACTATAATTGTAAATTTATATAGACTTCTCTTCAGTTCTGACAGTTCAAGCCTTACATATTTCAAGGCAATATTGCTGTGTGCATACAAGTTCATGTTGATTATTATATATCATTCTTTTAGTTTATTTACCAGAATATAACATCTTTCTTTGACCTTTTGAATTATTTTTCTTAATCATATTTTGCCATGTTAGATTGTTACTACTGTTTTCTATAGGCATATGCTTAGGATATCTTTGTCCATCTTTTCTGTGATTTTGTTTGTTTGTTTTACATATGTCTTTATAGACAATGTATTTTTATATCTTGTTTATATTTATACATTTTCTTTTAATCTGAGAGACTAGGTTCTTTATTGGTGGAGTTGAGACAATTTTTACATACAGTATTTCTGCTGATTTAAAACTTATCTCTGTATTTTTAACTACTGCTTTCTGGAAAATTCCTCAATCTGATCTTTCAATGCACTAATTTATTTTTGAGCTGTATCCTTTCAACTATGGAGGTCAACAATTGTGTTCTTTCTTGTAATAATTATATTTTTTAATATTGCCCAAATGATATATTAAATATTCATATATTTATAAATATTCCTTATGATTTATTTTTCTTATTTCATATTGCTATTGTCTACCAATATCCTCTTTATGTCTTCATCATGCCATTTTAAATTCTCTGTCATCTAGTTTAATGATTATGCTTCTGATGTTGTTCACTTTGATATCTTCTTTTGCCTCTTTATACTTCGTAGATCCATAGGTCTTTATATTTTTTTGTGGGGCGCGGTGGCAACGCCATTCCTAGATGGCGCCCGCTTCCTGGTCACACCCTACTGTGCGTCTGACAAACAAATGTTCAGCGCATGTGCAAAGCCTTGCCTCCTCTCCTGTTCTGTGTTGACCAATCAGGTTATGCCCCGTGTACTTACTGTCTATATAAGCAGCCGCCGAGAACGCCTCGGCGTCTTCCGCATGTAACCAGCTAAGCAATCCCCATTAAAACGCTGTCAGAAGAACTCCAATTGCCGTGTCTTCCTTGCTGGCGAGGGGGCGCGACATTTTTTGACCTGGGAAGTCACATTTCCCTGTGAGTATAGCCTACTCCATCTATTTTATAATATGTATCTGGAAATGGCCAAAAGCTCTAAACTGTATTTACTTTGTTGAATTTAAAGTAAATGATACTTTACAACCCTGCTTGGTCATTTCTATTTGCTGCCTCTCTACCTGGTAACGCCTCTCCTTGGGGTTTTGTTTTTAACACACTTAAGAAGAAATGCTTTGAGGGAAGACAGTCTCATTAATTTTTAATTTTGATGAATTATATTTATTTTCTACCAGTACAACTGAAGCAGGAGGAATAGATAGAGAAGAAAATAACTTATATAGTAATTATGATTCCTAAAGATTAGTCAAAATCTTTATTGCATGAATTTGCCAAAGAAAATATGGTGCATTAGAGAATCTTCTATAAAAAGACCCTGGAGTTCATCTAACATCCATCAACAGCATTTGTGACCACAGAAGGCTAGAGACACTTGATTACATTATGGTTTGCATAAGCATATTGTGTCACATAAATTCAATTTTGATTTTCCAAAGAAAGAACATTTGTTACTTTTTAATGTGGAAACAGAGTTACAAAACTGTTAGATAATATTAAAAAGTGTCACAAACTATGCCCGAGGTAATAGTTTTTCAGTGATTTCACACACTTGACAAGTGAACCCTCAGCTACACAGAAATACAAAGTCACTGTATGTCTGAGACGTGGGAAGTAATATTTATATATTCATTCATTCACTCATTCCTCCAATGATTTATTAAACATTTATTATTTTCTTGCTCTGTTCTAGGAATTTAAAACACCATGAGGAAGGAAATGAGATCCCTGGCCTCAAGGAACATATGTTCTCCTCAGGGAGATGAAGGGAAACCAGTAAGAGGAAGACAACATGGCACACACTTTAAGAACACACACACTCACACATACACTCACAATTTCTATGACTCACTGAGGCATCACAGAGGTGACCAATGACATCCTACAAATAGATAAAATTTGAAGGGTACAACTCAAAAGACAAAATTCTTTTACCATTGATATTAATAAACATAAGTATGAGAACCTGACAATTACTGACAATGGGATAGAAGATGGTATTAGAAAGTGAAGTCCCTAACTGGGAAAATATTAATCCTCTGAGTCATGCTTGAGACAGAGCACAGTTAGAATCTGTTATTCTGGTGGGCAGTGGAAAATTTAAAAGCACCTATAAACATTCAACTCTTATAGATGTTAATTTTTCCACATTAATCTGAGAGTCTACAGTAGTACAGCTACGTATTCAAATATGAATAGACAAATTTAGCTAAAGAAGCTAAATTGTAAGAAAAGAATGAGAGAAAAATAGAAAAATGATAACTACTTTCTTGTTATTGGAAGAAATAAGGATGCCTTTCCTTTTCTAAGAAATAGATTGTCCTATACTGAACGTACAAATGAACTAATTACTTATGTAATTATCTACCACGAAGCAAGAAATGATCCATAACAGAAGTCACACTTCCACAAAAGCAATAGGAAAGAAGGTCAGGTAAAGGAAGCCAAATAGAAACATAATTCCGAGGATAAATGGCCAGTATCAGGAAAGATACTGTGAATAAGCTTGCCTTCTCTAGATAGGGGGTTTGATATGGAAACAACCGACAGTTTCTATGCAGAAGTTCTTCCCTAGTTCAGTCTGATTTCTCTGTGAGATAAGAGAAGTTCTTAGAAAAATAAGTAAGGAGTAATGAGCTGGGGAAATACAATTGTGCAATAAGTTATGAAAACCTCAATTATCAGTGGTTTGAATAGTTATTGTCTGCGTAACTAGAAGCCTGATGGTAGTGGGCAGTGTCCTGTGTTGACATTGTCAGGGTAGCAGATCTGCAATTCTTCTGTTTGTTTGTGTTTTTCTTTTGTTTTTTTATTTCAGCAAGATGGCATTCCCAACTCCAAGAGCAATATCCTCACAGCCATATCTAAAGGCAGGAAGCTTATGGGTAGTCGGGGCAATAAAAGTACATGTCTTTGGTTAATTTAAATTTAATAGAGAGTATGTGTGGTGTTTGTTTTTCCATTATTTAGACAATTCACTTAGAATAATGGTCTCCGGTTTCATACACATTGTTGCAAAAGACATTAAGTCATTCTTTCTATGTCTGAGTAGTACTCCATGGTATACACAAAACATGTTTTCTTAATCCACAAGTGGATTGATGGGCACTTGTGCTGATTCCACGTCTTTGCAGTTGTGAATTGTGCCGCTATAAACTTTTGAGTGCAGGCGTCTTTTTTGATAACATGACTTCTTTTCTTTTAGGGAGATACCCAGCAGTAGGATTTCTGAATCTAATGGTAGGTCTATTTTTAATTTTTTGAGGAATCTCCATACTGTTTTCCATAGAGGCTGTACTAATTTGCAGTCTCACCAACAGTGTAGAAGTGATCCTTTCTCTCTGCATCCATGCCAGCCAGAATCTATTGTTTTTGGACTTTTTAATAAAAGCTATTCTAACAGGGGTAAGGTGATATCTTACTGTAGTTTTAATTTACATTTCCCTGATGATGCACATGTGCATAGAGGGAAGTAAAACTCAGTGTAAATCAAACAGGGAGAAAGGAGGCAAAGGGAATGGGAGAAAACATACCTAATGGGTACATTGAATACTATTTGGGTGATGGACAGACTTACAGCCATGACTCAAGCATTACAAAAGTTATCCAGGTAACCAAAAACATTGGTACCCCCTTAATATTCTGAATATATATATGTATGTATATATATATATATATATATATATATATATCTCCCAGAAACAAACAAACAAAAAGAGAATGTCTCTACTTTCATTGAGAAGGAAAATAGTTCTTAATAGTTCTTACTTGGTTTCTGGTCATCTTGATCAGAATGCATTCTCCTGATCAAGCTCAACTGCAGGAAAGCCTGGCAAAGTGAGCATCTTGCATTTTCAAGTTCCTGAGTGAAAAATGGGCAAGAGGAAAAAATAAAAGAGATTGGGGATGATATTTAGAGCTAATCATAAGCATCTATCTCAAGAGAAGAGGGTAGAAAAAATGACAGCTCTTGTCATTGATCAACACAGATATGAAATATTGAAAAAAACATCTTTCATTTAATAAGTATGTACTAGGCATTCTACTAGAAGCTGGGGACACAATCACGAGGAGAAACAAGCATAATGCTTGTGGTCCTGACTCAAACATGGTTCAGTTAAGGAAAGAGAAAGGATTTTTTTTGGTCCCGTTTATCACAGTAACTAGAAAGCATAGAACGGCATGAGCTGGAAAATTGGGCTGGGTTAAGAACATAGGCAATAATTAAGAATGTTTTTCCTTATCCTAAAATAAATAGGAAGTGTTTAAATTGTTTTCTAGCCAGGGAGTGATATGATTCGATTTGCACAATTAACCCATTTAACGGTAGTTATTAGCTTAAAAATACCTTATTGTTAAAGACACCATAAATCTCAGTATGTGTATCTATGTACTTCTAAGTAGTACATTTCTAGTAATTTTGACTAAAAGAATGATAATGATGATGATGATAATAAAAATGATAGTCAAGAAGCCTAAGCTGGGCCTGAAATCTTACTGGTTAAGATTATACCACAAGATTAGTTATTTTAACACCTAAAATGACAGCACAAAAAAAAAATCACTTTTCAGTTTTTCTGAGAACTCAAAGGAAAATTTTAGATATAGAAACCTGTAACAACCAAGAATAAATCCAAAATATATTTTTATTTTATCCCAAAATATTTAGAGAATGACAATAGTTATCTGTATGTCATCTTCAAACAGAAAAGATAACAAAATATAACTTTAAAAATGATTTATAATAGAATCCATCTCTGCATAAATTTGAGATCATGGTATGGTAAAATATCTCAGATGTGGAGTGACAGAAAGCAGTCTATTTAACTAATGGTAATTAATTTGGAGAGAGACAGTGAGTAACTTATCATGTTTACTTGTAGGTAGCTGAACACCATTTTAACCTTTAATTTTATTTTAAAATTTCAGAAAATTAAGTTACTGAGCTAATGACAGATCCTTCCCTTTATATTCACTTTACCTTTCACTTAGAGTCTACTCTTAAAACTTAGTGAAATTCATATCTATCTATATTGGAAAGCACTACACAACCATAATAAAAAACATGAAGTCATAAAGTTAAAACCATTTAATCCTATTAAAGCCTCATTAAATCAAGGAAGTATTTATAGGATGCAACTTCATTCCCTTGTACACTAGCAAAAATCTGCAACTCGAGTCAATGTTCACGAATTAATTAGCAACTGCACTAAGGGCAGGTGTTTGACTGACATTTCCCTTGATCTCATCCCTCAAGGTTACACGCTGTACAGCCATGCAATTCCTTGCCATTAATCCTTAACCCCACCAGAATGTTTGTTTACTTTGTGAAATAAGAGCAAGAGCATGAGCTACAAAACAAATATGTAAAATTTTAGAGGGGTGCCTTTTTGAGATAATATTTCTTGTATTAAAAGATAATGTAAAAAGGGGAAGCTTTGCAGGAGCCATGTCTACTATCTGTGTTTAAAAAAAATCCTCATTTTGGAGGACATAGATAACTTTTTCAAAAGTTTTCACATACATCAGCTAAAGCTTCAAGTAAAAAAAAAATGATAGAATTTTAAAGCTTGAGTGACTTGAAATATTATTTGGCCCAACGCCTTTATTTTTCAGTTGGGGAAACTGAGCCACATGGAAATTTTATTTTTCCAGAGAGATGCAGCCCACACTTAGGCCAAGTGTAAAACTTTTAATTCAACTAGACTAGATTGTGTTTGTATTGTTTTTTTCCCCCCAGCTATTGTGATTCTTCTGATGTAAAGCAAGAATTTGACACATGACATTTGTTATTTATGACTTTCTTGGCAGTGATGATAAAAACATGTTTAGGTCTTGAATGGCATGTGAATAATATCCTCCTCAAAATACTGACAGTGGTCAAGACATAACTTCAAGTTCAGGTTGATAGGCTTTTAACTATCATGTCATCCAAAGCAGTTGAAGGAGTAAGATATTTTTATGAGCTTCTATAGGTCATGCATAAGCATTTAGTTTTCATTTTTCTTGGCTGAGTTAGCTTGGATTTCTCTCCTCAAACAATGCTCCCTTAATATAGCAAAATAGTTTTGTTGACAATTGGGGTCAGAGATTGAAAGTGTATTTATCCTATCAAGTACAGTATTCGAATGGCCATGAAATATGCTGAAGTCTGATTATGACTTCTAGAACTGAAACTGATGTATTGCTTAACTGGATATTCCTTTCTTCTGCAGACACTTTGCATAAACATTGACATGAATCTGGGATTCAAATTTTAAAGTCTGTTTTTTAGTGTGTGTGTGTGTTAAAGCACATTCTACTCAATTTGCTTCAAGTATTTGATTTTTATCTATATACACACGTATATATAAAACTAATGAATCAGTCTTGGAAAATAATTTAGTCATGTAGATACATTGTGGAGATGAAAACAAAAATAATAAAAATGAGAAGAAAGGTAAATATATGAATAAATTACAAAATTATTTAAGGAAAGTATGTAAAAGATTATTTTCAACAAAGTTTTCATTCTATAAAAATTATTTGTAATGTTAAAGAAAAGGAGAATAATTAGCAAAAATTGAAGGTTTGTTAACTATTAACTCTAATAACAGAGGAAATTGGCAATAAAGCATTTTAAAGGATTTTTTTTACTTTTAAGCTTTTATTTTATATTTTTAAATAATGGAGAAAATATATAGGATATTTATTTGAAAAGTTATTTTATATTAAATATTTATCAATGTGCCACTGTAATGACATGGAAAGTCTAATTATTATGTTTTCTCCACTTAAACTCCCTAATTTTAGAAGTCATGCATGTTATATAGAAACTTTTTTTTATATAGGTAAGAAAGAAAGGACATGGGACTTCCAAGAAGAATTGCTCATAGATCCATCTCTGTAACTAGAACAAAGATCATACTTACTAAATTGTAATGATGTAACAGGAACCAAGAGAGGAACTCTGAACAAATTTCAAAGGGAATTCAACAATCTGATCAAAACCTGCACTTTAATAAGACTTTGAGTTCCCTGGAATCAAGAGACAGAGAATTGAAGTTCATGCAGAGAATAAGTTGAATCACTCAGAAATTCAACATTGTGGGTAATAAATCCAACAGGATCCCTGGCAATATTGTATAAATACAAACTACGCTGGCTTCAGAACAAGATTGGGTTGGCATCTTGGTTGCACTATTTACTAACCCTGTGACCTTTCAATTTATTATCCCAATTCTTAGTTTTCTTTCCTGTGAAAGGCAAACAACTGTAATGCTTACCCTAAAAGGTCAGCAGTAGAGGTCCATGAGACAATCTATGCAAAAGGCCTACCAGGGTCCCTAGCATATAGTGGGCACTTGATTAAGGTTAGATCTGATGTCAGTGAAGCAGACAGTGACTATAATGATCATATGGACAAACAATCTATGAGTGAGAACAGAGAAGTAATTCTCTTGCCAAAACTAGAATATGAAGAAGCAGCAAAGCTTGAGAGATCTGGAATAGGGGACAATATATAATAATATTGAGAAACATTTATGAAAGGATTTTATTTTTGTGTCCATCTGACAGAGAAACCTATATTTTAAGCTTCTGAAAACTCACAAAAAGTAAAAAGAAAATGCTACTGAAAATCAATTATGACAACACAGCAATTTATTTTCTGATGCAATTTATTTTATATTAAAAAGTAAATAAGCCGGGCGCAGTGGCTCACGCCTGTAATCCTAGCTCTCTGGGAGGCCGAGGCGGGCGGATTGCTCAAGGTCAGGAGTTTAAAACCAGCCTGAGCAAGAGCGAGACCCCGTCTCTACTATAAATAGAAAGAAATTAATTGGCCAACTGATATATATATAAAAAATTAGCCGGGCATGGTGGCGCATGCCTGTAGTCCCAGCTACTCGGGAGGC